TCAAAAGCATGGTCAGGTCTGCAAGATCTTGAATGCGCAACGCCGGAAGAGGGTTCCCTGAACCCTAAACCCTAAACCCTAAACCCTAAACCCTAAACCCTAAACCCTAAACCCTAAACCCTAAACCCTAAACCCTAAACCCTAAACCCTAAACCCTAATGAAGTTTGGGGCGAGTATTGTCAGACCAATCACCGCTTAAGCCGCCCCCCTCGCGAAGGTCGCACTCCGGCACCGTTTGTCCGTGCTGGAGGTGCAAGCCATGGAGAAGTGCTTCCCTGAACCCTGAACTTTGCACCCGAAACCTCCATAAACCCTGTAACTAAGACCCTCAACTTTTTTCCAGGGGGAGGCTGAAATTTTGGAGCCCGAGGTGTCAGAAGTGCCCGACTGACTTCCCCACCGCCATCCCCAAGAGCCCGGTTTAGGGTTTGGGGTTTGGGGTTTAGGGTTTAGGGTTTAGGGGGGGACTTCCCTGGATGTTTGGCATCTCACAGGTTGCTGGAAGGCTGAGCCCCCCACCAAGAAAAGGGCACCAAACCCCCCAAAGTTCTAGGGAGTTTGGGGTTCAGGGTTGGTTTGGGGTTCAGGGTGTTCAGGGTTTGGGGTTTAAGGTTTGGGGTTTCGGAATTCCCCCCCCCCCCCCACCTCCGCCAGGCAGAGATCCGGGAGTGCAAGGAGGAAGAGTCCCTTGCCTACCAGTGAAATGTTCAGGGGTTTAGGGTTTGGGGTTTTTTGTGGCATCAGATTCATTTAGATGCACTGAAAAGCAAAGCTGTAGTTCTATACGTATGTGTTAATATTGGTTTCCTTTTGGAACGTCATTTGGTTGAAGTTACAGGCATCCAGAACAACTTCGTTCTTTGCAGGGGTTGTTGATGCAGTGGGGTTCAGGGTCAGCTGGCCCACTTGAGCTCATGTTGTGCGGGAGCTCCTGGTCCCCGACACCCCAACCCTAAATTTAAATCCCTTTGCCCTAACAGCCCCTTAAGCCCCTGACCCCTAAACTCCAAACCCCAAAAGGTGCAGCAGCCCTTTTTGCAAAAGAAGCCGTCGCATAAGAGGCTACGCAGCCTGCAAAAGACAGGCTTAGGCTTTAGTGCTTAAGGGTTTTGGGTCCAGGGTTCCAGAAGTAGGGTTTAGGGGTTAGGGTTAGGGTTAGGGAGCTCCCGGCCAGTTCTTAGTTCTCCCTTGCCGCGCGTCCAGGCAGGCCATCCGATCTAGCTCTGTCCAGCAAAGCCCCTCGCTCGGCCATGACTCTTTGCACCAGGCCAGGTGGGACAGGCACCTGGACCCTGGATCCTTGTTCCCCCCCTTGTACTATACAGGGTGGGGCCCCCTTACTATACTAACTGTAGTTAAGGGACTTATAACCTAACTTAGGGTCCTTATAACCCAATTTAGGGCCCTTATAACTCTACTTATAACTAGGGGGCCCCACCCTGTATATAGGGGGTACTAAAATCCCTCTTAAGGGCTGTTAGTATAAGGAGGAACATCCCAACCTACATCCTACACGCTCAACCCCAAGACCCTAAACCCTGAACCTCCAGGAATCCTGTTCATGTACTCATCCTACTGAAGTAAGGAATCAGGCACCCTGAAGAGATTGGACACGGTAGGGCTTGGGGTTTAGGGTGTATAGGGTTCAGGGTTCAGGGTTAAGTCCGCCGAAAGGGTAGAGCTGATTGGGTCTTCCGGGACAATCTCTGGGGAGGGTATGGATCATCCTGCCCTTGGTGCATACAGTACAAGGCCTAAACCCTAAACCCTAAGCCCAAAACCTAAATACTAGGCACCCTAAACCCAAAGAGCCGACAAGCTGAAGGAAGAAACAGCTGGCCTCGCGCCTTTGCAAGAGCCTTGCAGGCCGAACTCCTGCAAAGCGAGCTGAACTCGCTCTGCCGGGGCCCCTGCTTTTCAAAGGGCTCCCCTAAACCCCAAACCCTGAACCCTAAACCCATCCAAAAGAGGTCATTGGGGTTGTAAAAACAAACAAACCCTGAACCCTAAACCTTTACGGTTTAGGGTCCAGAGCCTCTGGGGTATTGAAGGGCATTGTGGGGTTTAGTGTCTGGGTGCTTTAGTGCTTTACGCGTTAGAAGGGGCCGACATTCCTTTTAGTTCAGGGTGGTATGGCTTGGTAGTTTGAAAACCCTAAAGCCCGAAAACCCCTAAAGCGCCAAACAGCCCCTAGAGCCCTAAAACCCCTCAAACCCCAAAAGAACCCCCCTAGAGCCCAAAAAAGGCTCCCAAAAAGCCCTAAAACCCCAAACTCCTAAAGCCCACAAAAGCCCTAAACGCCCCAAGACCCCTAAAATTCCCGAAAAGAAAGCCTCCTGGTGCCAAAATCCGTAAACGCCCTAAGACCCCTAAACACTGCAACCCCAACACCCCAAAGCCCCTAAAGCCATAAAAACCCTAAAAGCCCCAACAAAAACCCGAGATCCCTAAAGCTCTTCACGGACACTTCCCCAGGCCAGCGTGTGGAAGCCTACCAGAGCGAGAACAGCCAACTTGAGGCCTGAGTGGTTTAGGGTTTAGGGTTTAGGGTTTAGGGTTTAGGGTTTAGGGTTTGGGGTTTGGGGTTTGGGGTTTAGGGTTTAGGGTTTAGGGTTTAGGGTTTGGGGTTTGGGGTTTAGGGCGTTCAGGGGTTTAGGGGGTTCGGGGGTTTTAGGGGGTTCAGAGTTCAGGGCTTTAGGGTTCAGAGGGCATCGGCTGTCACGCAAGAGAGTGAGACGCTGCAGTTCAGGTGTAACTTCGGAACCCCGCGACCTTTCATGGGTTGGGTATGAATGGGGAAGTGCGTGGGCACAATATCATCCCCTTAGAACCCCTCCGCAATCTGTACGAAACAAGGTAACCCCGAAATACCGGCACCCACTGTAATTGCAACAGGCCTTTTTTGGTGACCTATGCCCTGTGAGCTGGCCTGACAACTCATGGCTCCCGGGGGTGGAGTTTGGGGGTAGGGTTGGTCAAGACTCAAGCTGACGCTAAACCCGAAACCCTAAACCCTAAACCCTAAACCCTAAACCCTAAACCCTAAACCCTAAACCCTAAACCCTAAACCCTAAACCCTAAACCCTAAACCCTAAACCCTAACCCTAAACCCTAAGCCCTAAACCCTAACCCGAAACCCTAAATCCCTTGGCAGGAGGAGCTTTCCTTGGTCGAAGCGCGAGAGGCCGAGCTTGCGCTGGAGCTCTGGCAGGTGCCAGAGGCCCAGGAGTCGTGCCGTGCTTGTACGGTTTAGGGTTTCGGGTTTAGGGTTTAGGGTTTAGGGTTTCGGGTTTAGGGTTTAGGGTTTCGGGTTTAGGGTTTAGGGTTTAGGGTTTAGGGTTTGAGTCTTATCATGTTTTGTTTGGTTGAGGGCCTCCGTCTTAGTCTCAGTGCAAGGAGGGTTGATTCAGGGTTGAGGGCGGTGATAGAAGGTCTAAGGTTCAGGGTCTACTGCAATCTTCGTTCGGATGTTTTGTTTTCGGTGGTTTGTCTCACGTTGTGCTTGGATTCTCAGGATTTGGGTGGGATGAATTGGGGATCCTTGGTAGCAAAATGGGTCTTTCCCAAAATAGGGGTATTACCCCTGTCATACCCCACGTAGAATAGAATCCCCGTAAAGGGACCCCCCCAAAAAGGGTACCCCTATTTTCGTTGACCCCCGCAAACCCAGCCCGCTTCCAAGGCAGGCAGAGTTCGAGGGGCTGTCACCAAAGCCGCCAATGATAAGGCCAGCGGATCCAGCGAATCATCGAAAATGCAGCTGGCATGTAAATTCATGGCACGGTTGCTGACAGAGTTCGGAACCTAAACCCTAAACCCTAAACCCTAAACCCTAAACCCTAAACCCTAAGATGGCGCAGGTACCAGTGACACCAGCGTGACCTGATTGGCCTGCGGCCCTGATCCCCCAGGCATCTGGAAGACGCCAGTTCCCAGAATCGTCACTATAGAAGCCACCACCACAATGCACCCCAAGAAGCCCTCTGGTCCTCACTGAAGGGGGTTTATGTAAGATTAGGGTTTAGGGTTATAAGTCATAATTCTAGGGTTTAGGGTTTAGGGTTTAGGGTTTAGGGTTCCCCAAAGCACAACCAGGGCGCCTGAGCTCAGAGGCATCGCACCCCGAAGTGTCCTGGTGGCCTTGTCTGCAGCGGTCCTGCAGCACAGTTCGTGCGGCCGAAGCGCCTTCAGACCTTGTACAAAATGAGCGGGGTTTCCACAGAATAGGGGTTACCCCCTCCTTTTTCGAAGGGGTTCTATTGTGGGAGCTAGAGGATTCTTGGGGTAGGGGGCCCCTATTTCCGGCAGCACCGGAAGTTTGTCCGTCCAGCTGCACGTGGCATTCGTACCATTCCCGTGCGGTGGTCGGCAGGTCGTCGTACAGCTCAGCGTGGGCGCATGGATGTGCTCGTAGCATGTCCGCCCGCGCACTTATTCCGCAGTGAAAAGTTGGAATCGCTGTGCGTGCATCCGCTGAAGGGGTTCCCCCCCCCTATTTCCTCCGACCCTGATACTTCCCTATGCATTTATGGGCCCTGAACCACACACTCGCACACTCAGCTTGATGAGACTGAAACTGCAAAACCCTTGAAGTCCTGAACTCTGAAAAGATCCTCACATCCGGAGCCTTGAGCCCATCTTGAGCCCTCAAACCTCTCAACCCTGGATTAGCGATTAGGGGTTTATGGAGTTTAGGGTTGATGGTTCTTTTGGATTTGGAGGCGTCTCGTCTGTGTTCGAGCCGCAAGCCTGACGGCACTTCCTTGGCATTCTTTCGGCCCATCACAAGTCTTAAATGCTTCCACGGTGTGGTTTAGGGATTCGGGTTCTTTGGCCCTGTAAATAAACCCTAAACCCTAAACCCTAAACCCTGAACCCTGAACCCTGAACCCTGAACCCTGAACCCTGAACCCTGAACCCTGAACCCTGAACCCTAAACCCTAAACCCTAAACCCTAAACCCTATTCTATTGAAAATGCCGAGAGCCCCTCCTCAAGAGGTGATCATCTTTGACTGGGACGACACGCTGCTTTGCAGCTCGGCCATCAACGCACAGCAGTGGCGACAAGACCAGGCGGCCCCAAGCACTCCGTTGGGTCTAGGGTTTAGGGTTTAGGGTTTAGGATTTAGGGTTTAGGGATCTAGGGTTCGGGCTTAGGGTCCTAGAAGGTTTCGAGCGCAGGGGTTTTGGGGCCCTCCAAAGGTTGAGGGCTTCTTAGATGGAATCCAGGATTCAAGCAACAAGCTGGCTACTAGGATGTATATGGCGCTCCTCTACAGAGAGACGACAGACTGGCCGACACCTCCCTGGCAATCCTGAAGCCCTAAACCCTAAACCCAGACATTTCGTAGGGTTTCGGGCCTCCTTTCCCCTCCCCCCTTCCTCCGTCCTCCCCTCGGCCAGCTGGAGCAGCTTGAGCAGATGGTCGAGTCAATCCTGCCCCAAGCTTATCTGGCTGGTTCTTAGTAGGGAACGAGGGAATGAGGTCCCCTATATGTAATCCGTGAAAGGGTATATATAGGGCCCGAATTCCCTCATTCCCTATTGGGAACCCGGGGGTGATGTGAGGAGTTTGGGCTCAATGGCCTTAGGCCTCAGGATGAACAAATCGATGGGTTAAGCAAGGGTTCCCACTTTTGAGTTGTAATATATTGGTCGGGATAATTACGAATAATCTTCCCTCATGGTCTCTTTGTAATTGTACCCTAATACCCCCCCCCCCCACAACAACAAAAAAAACGTATTCTAATTAAACCCCAAACCCCAAACCCCAAACCCTAACCCCTAAACCCTAAACGCTACCCCCTAACCCCCTAACCCCCTAACCCCCTAACCCCCTAACCCCCTAACCCCCTAACCCCCTAACCCCCTAACCCCCTGACCCCCTGACCCCCTGACCCCCTGACCCCCTGACCCCCTAACCCCCTAACCCCCTAACCCCCTAACCCCCTAAACCCTACACCCTAAACCCTAAACCCTAAACCCTGTCGCAGTGGGATGCAAGTCGCGGCTTCTCTGGGGCTTGGGCGGCTGAAGGGTGGGCTTCGGCATGTTAGCCAGGACAGTGCAAGGGTTTAGGGTTTAGGGTTTAGGGTTTAGGGTTTAGGGTTTAGGGTTTAGGGTTTAGGGTTTAGGGTTTAGGGTTTAGGGTTTAGGGTTTAGGGTTTAGGGACCCTGGTGCGTCTTGTGAAGCCTGCGGCAGCATGGTCGCTAGATAGTCTGCGGATAAGTGCCTGCTAGCGGGTTCTGTCCACAGGCAACGGCTCAAGTTTCCAGATAATGCTGGTATATGAGTCAGGTCGGAAACCGGAAGCTCTTCGAAGCTCGAAAACCCCCAAAACTGCTCAAGCCCTGATCTACTCAATCCCTAAACCCTACACCCTAAACCCTCAACCCTAACCCCTAACCCCTAAACCCTAAACCCTCAACCCTCCACCCTCAACCCTAAACCCTAAACCCTAAACCCCAACCCTAAACCCCAACACCCTGCGCCATCCTCGAAGCGAGGCTCGCTGCCATGCATCTGGGGGAGACGGCGCCGCCTTCCTGATTGAGCTGGGTTTAGGGTTTAGGGTTTAGGGTTTAGGGTTTAGGGTTTAGGGTTAGGGTTCCAAACCTCGCCTTCTGATTGAGCTTGGTGGGTTTCGGGTTTGGGGTTGAGGGTTTAGGGTTTCGGGGTTTTGAATGCACCGACCCCTTATAAGTCAAGGCGCCGTGGTGGACTTTCAGACCATAGATATTCTCATGGCGATGGGTGAAAGCTAGGCCGAGTACGTCAGGCGGATGTGCAAGCCCCTTTTTGACCTTTTTTTTGGCGGGGTCCGGTTGGGGGGGGGGGGGGGGGAAGTGGCACTCCCTTGGCAGCCAAAACAGAACCCAAATTCCGAATCCCGAACGCCCTAAACCACGTTAAGCCTTCCTGTTGAACTCTGCGAGGCTTCAGAGGTTCGTTGCAGAGGCTTCAAGGTCGCTTTGAGGCGAGATGCGGGTGTGGGCCCTTAAGTGGGCCGGATATGCCGCCAGATGATTGTCACAAACGGCAACGCCTCCTGGGTGCAGGCGCTGCTGCAAAAAGGGTTTGTAGAGACCCGAAGGGCCGACATTTAAGAACATGCGCTTGCGCATCAATTTTACAGTAACTACCTATGGAGGACCGTGATGCAGATTCCTGGTTCATAGCAGGCATGGCAGCTTGAGTGGATCCATAGAGCTTACCATTGTCGTAGGAGAGCTTTGACATGTATCTAGTCTTATTCTTCATTGCCTAAACAGTGATTGCGTGACCCAGCGCATGCTTTGCAGGACAGTGCTCGACGCTTCCTCCCGAACTTGCAGCGAACGCTGAACCGCGTCACAGCCCGCTCCCTCGGTGGAGACGTAGGGGTTTAGGGTTCAGGGCTCAGGGTTTAGGGTTTAGGGTTCGCGGGATAGTTTTGCGCCTAAGAGCCGACACCCTACACAGCAATATAGGGGTCGGAATAATTGCTAATAGTACTCCCTTATGCTCCCAAAAGGTTTAGGTTTCGGGTTTACGGTTTAGGGCAGTCGCGGGAGGGGGATGGATGGGTGACGGGGGGGGGGCGACTTCTCGAAAACCCCTTCGAGCCTATACCCCTGAAAAACCCGACTTCCTGGTCACCTTACGAAACAAAGGAAGGCTGTGTGACTTCCCAGCAAAGCCAGCAAGTAAAGCCAGCTCTGAGGTCGATAGCGCTTAGGTGCAGGGTTCGGGGGCTGCGCTGAGGTCATGTCTGCACGGGCACTGTATGAGCACTCGTTTCCTGGCGATCCCTTCGCCTGGAAGCGGCAGGCGTTTAAGGAGGCGGGCCGCCTTACACCGAGTCAGCCGTGCACATGTGTTCAGTACAATTGCTTGCTTTTTTCGTTGTTCCTGAGCCTCAACCCTGAGGCTTTATACTTAAGCCCAATCCCGAAAGCCTCGAACCCCTTGAACCCCGAAACCATCCAAAACCACAACCCCCAAACCTCCCCCCAGATCCCACATGCTCGGGGAAGGTGGGGGGGGGGGGTAGGCACGAGGCCGCAAAGATTCACTACTATAGCCCGGCTATAGTTCTTTCCCATGTGATCTGATCCCCACATACGATGCACTGCCTTAAATGCCCCGTCCCGACTGGCCCCTACGAACCCTGAACGTTCGTCGGCAGATTTTGGCCCGGCGTCGCCAAGAAGGCACGGCCGCCCTTGAGGGGTTAGGGTGGCACAGGCTTTTGGGGCTTCTTAGGGGCTGAGTAGTTAACCTTTAACCTTCTTCTTGGTTATATATAGTTGTGCTGTATGTATTCCAATTACAGCAAGAGCGGTTGACCTATTTTGGGCTGAGGTATTCAGCTCTTTTGGCTCTTAAGGGATTATCAGATTTAGGGTGTAGGGGGGTCCCAGGTCCAAAGCGCAGAGATTCACCAGCTGTCTGACCTTAGAGTGAGTGAGCCCGTCTGCACCTCTTGGATCCTTCCAAAAAAGTTTCTCGGGGTTAAGTTGCACGCTGCATATCAGCTGATAGTCTGTATGTCCAACAAAGTTCAGTCTCCCAAAAAACCTAAAACCTAAACCCTAAACCCTAAACCCAAAAACCTCACGTCATATTGAGCCAACGTGGATGTAGGCCCCAGGCTTCGCGCTGAGAGCTGTCTGAACTTGGAGGTCTAGACGTAAGCTGTGGCTTTCGCCGGGAGAGCAGACTTGTGCAGTTTCGGGGCGGGGGAGGGGGGGGTGGGGAGGGCGAAGGGGGGTTCTTTTGCGTTTTTCGTTTTGGGGAGATATCCGGCAGTGTTGCGGGTGCTTCGAAATCACAAGTCCAGCCCCGAACGAGGCTTCCATCCCGAAGGCGTGAACCTCATCGTGCTTGGCGACTCACCAGCTGAAATCCAGGCGCCTGGGTTGTTGAAAGTAGCGGCCTAGGGCTGGGCCCCCCTAAAACCTTGCATGCTTGTTGAGGTTTAGGGGTTTAGGGGTTTAGGGGTTTAGGGGTGAAGGGGTTTACTCCCTAGTCTCCAGGCAATCCTAAAGCATGTTCTCATGCTCTGAGGGGATGTTCCCCCTTACGCCAACAGTCCTTCATAGGATATATGGTACCCCCCTCCTATGATCGCTATTCAGTATAAGGGGGAACATCCCAACCTGGGACCATATCATCGTGCAAGCACCCTCTCACCACGAGCCCATCGCGGGGCTTGCAAAGAAGGGGCGCCGCCTCCATCGGACCCCCCAGCCCTCATCCCCTCAGCGCTGTAATCCCTTCTGCCCAGACCCTAAGCCCCAAAATCCCTGTCCATCCTCAATCCTAAACCCTATAAGCCCTAAACTCTAGCCCCAAAATCCCTGTACACCCTACTAAACCCCAAGCCCTCAGCCCTAAACCCTAAAGCAGATTCAATCCCCCAGGCTGCTCGGACGGCCACAAAAGTGCTGTGCGGCAGGTCGGCACGGGCTTGGTGAGGGCTTTTGTGGGTTTATATAGGGTTTAGGGCTTGAGGCTTAGGGCTTAGGGCTTAGGGCTTAGGGCTTAGGGCTTAGGGCTTAGGGCTTAGGGCTTAGGGCTTAGGGCTTAGGGCTTAGGGCTTAGGGCTTAGGGCTTAGGGCTTAGGGCTTAGGGCTTAGGGCTTAGGTTTAGGGTTTAACGCTTAGGGCTTATACAGGGTTTAGAACTTCAGGCTCCCAGGATACGAGGAGCGAAGGCTAGTGGGTGGGCTAGGCGGTGCTGCCAGGGCCCGGGTGAAGTTGCGGCTTCTGAGCGTATCATGCCCCGCGACTGCCCTAAACCCTGAGCCTTAAGCCCTAAACCCCAAGCCCTTTACCCCAAGCCCCATACCCCAAACCCGAAACCTCCACACCCCCAAGCCAGGTCGATGGTGAAGACCGTCAAGTTCAAGGAGGCGTCATGGGCACTCCGAGCCCTGAACCCAAGACCTTGGTTTCGACATCATTCCCCGCAAACAATCCCCGAGGCCCTTCAGGCGGTCTTAGGGTTTAGGGCTCAGGGCCCTGACACAAGCCGCATGAATATCAAAAGCGCATTCCACAGTTGATCCGTATCCCTCTTGGGTATAGTATGCTTCTCACTAAAGCCCATAAAGACTATAAAGCCTACAAACCCCATAACCTCGATTGGAACCTCATTCGCACCCAACTAGAATAATTAGAACCCTGTTAGAGCCCTATTCGAACCCTACAAACCCTATAAGCTCCCTATAAACTACATAGCCTCTACACCCTCAAACCCTCTACAAACCCTAAACAACCTTAAACAAAATCCTAAGCCCCCCCAATAAAACTTGGTCATAGTTGGGTATCATCTTACATTTTTACGGGTACTTAAACCCAATAAGGAATAACAATTTAAATTTTTAATACGATCCCAACCATGAACTAGAAAACCCTAGAAAAACCCTGCGAACTCCTAGAAACTAGGGGCTTGGGTGCGAGGCACCGTCGGTCAACGAGCTCCTGGGCCAACTTCGCCGGGCCAGCCGCTGAGAGACCTGTGGGTTTGGGGTTTTTGGGGTTTGGGGTTTAGGTCTTTAGGGTTTAGGGCTTTAGGGCTAGGGTTTAGGGTTTAGGGCTTAGGGGTTTAGGGCTTTAGGGTTTAGGGCTTTAGGGTTTAGAGCTTTAGGGTTTAGGGTGTAGGGTGAGGGTCCATGGTGCCGCGCGCAAGGCTCTGGAACTGGATACGAGTGACGAGTATAGGCAAGAGTTTGTACAGATGTCGGCATGAAATTGAAATAGACATCGATTCGGATTCTGCAGTACTTCGCGGTATCGTGCTGCTGGGTGGACGGTGTCCTGATGCTCCTTGCCTAGCTGAGAAGAAATTTGCCGACAACGCAAACCAAAAATCATTATGTCTCCGTGCTCAGGTGTCTCAGGAGTTGGCTGCCATCGTTCAGGAGGACTGCGCTGTGGTGGTGCCACATAATCGTACAAGAGATGAAAAGCGAAGGCCCTGTAAAGCAAGATTTGAACACTTCACCATGTCTGACATCATGTCAAGCATTATTGTTTTACGATTACTATGTACCATTTATCAGTACTATCTAATTTACTATTTACCATTTACTATTTACTATTGCTAAGTACTATTATTATTATTATGTCCATTATTGGAATTATTATTGCAACTGCTATTTACTATGATCAATACATACAGTTTTGCTTAGGATCTCCCGTAAAGCTCAGCTCTCGAGGCGCAACCCGAAAGCCCTCGCGCTTCTTGCAGATTGTAAAGAGCGATTGAAACCCTAAAGCCCCAAAGCCCTTCAAATCTAGGGTCCGAAGTATGGGCCCTTAATTTTAACGCTACGCGACCCGCCTCGGCCTGAGCTAAGAAGGGGATGGGGTGTGTGTGTGTGTGTGTGTGCTAAACCCTAAACTCTATACCCGAAACCCTAAACCCAACAACAAAAAAGAAGACGCAGAGCCTCCCTTGCCGCGGCCAGGAAAAGAGCCTGAGCCGCGGACTGGTGCAGCGTGGCTTCCCCGCAGCCCGCTGAGCACAGGGCTGGGGGAGTTTCGTGTTCAGGGCTTAGGGTTTTGGGTTTTGGGTTTTGGGGTGGAGGGCATCAGACCTAGACTCGATGCCCGAGACACCGACTGAGGACCACAGCTTTAAGGAAGTCGCCCGCAGCATCCCATCATGCTCGCGCTAGGCATTGAAACGCGCATCAACGGGCGCCGCAGCCGGGCGATGAAATTCTGAGCCCTATAAGCCCTCAACCCAAAACCCTAAGCCAAGCCTCGTCAAATGCATGGAGGCTTCAAACTGTGGACTCGAACTCACTCCGTTCGCGAACTATTTTTTCAAAGTCGGGGTCGGGATGCGCGAAGCTTTCAAAGTTTGGAGTTTGAAAGCGTCGCGACTTTGAAGGCTTGAAAGATCTGAGTTTTGGGGGGTCGAAGTTGAAGCCCTTTCGAGTTGGAGATTTTGAAATTCCACGAATGTAAAGTTTGATTGATGCCCGTTCGGGTTTGATAAGTTGATATTTGAAGCAAGACGAGTTGGAAATACTGACGCCCCGAGTTTGAACGCTTACAGTTCGAGAGTTTGAGAGGTTCAAACGTTGAAGGCGCGACAACGCCTCTTTTCGCCCTTCGCGCGCAATCTCCCTTCTTCGCCCTATGCGCTTACATGCAAGCTGAACATCGCTCCTTTCTTGGATTTGAGAGTTTGCTGCGTTTGAACCCTAGCCCTGAAGCCTAATCCCTCAACTGTCGGGTTCAGGGGTTTAAGGTGCAGTTTTCTTGGGGGACTACCCGAAACTGCGCTTGACCTTCTCCTTGGAATCCTCAAAGCCCGAGCGAGCCTATGAGCCTGTTAGCCCCGTACACTTAAGGCCACGAGCCTGCCAGACTGGTGTGAAACGTGAAAAGCTCGCGCTGTTCGAGTTTTCAAGCTACCGAATCTCCGAAACTTGTCGAACTCGCAGGATCTCAAACTTTCAGACTCCTGACCTTATCGAAGCTCAAACCTCTCGAGCTCTGGAACCCCCCGGGTTAGGGTATGTGAACCCTAAGACGGGGTTTAGGGTTTAGGGTTTGGGGTTTAGGGTTTAAGGGTTGAAACAGTTAAAGAGTCTGGGTAGCCCAGTGGTACCCCTTGCCCTTCTTTAAAGAAGGGTTCTGGGTTGCCTTGTAAAGTAACCAACCGAAGAAAGGGTACCTTTCTTACGGCATGGTTGCTGGGCTACCAAGGGGTTCGAGTATGACAGCTATAGCAGCTAGCTGCGATCACAAGTTTAAAAAGAGTGGAACGAAACACTCGGCAATGCAATCGCCCAGAATACAAGGAGAGAACGAACAATGCAAGACACATGTTACAGACAGCATGGGTTTTCATAACATCAGCAGCGGCAGCAGCAGCGGCGGGGGCAGCAGCAGCAGTAACAGGAGGAGCAGCAGCACGAGCAGGAGCAGGAGCATCGGCTGGCATCATTTGCTCTTTCAAAGCTGTTCAAGTGTGGAGTCGAGAAATGATGGCTCCCCTGGCCCTCTTCCGGGCCTCTTCTGGGCCTTTTCTGGGAGTCTTGTGGGCCTCTTCTGGAACCCTCGTGGCCCATACTGCAAGCGGTTCATGAAACAAACTTGCTCAACATGCTGCAGAACCTCAAACCTAAACCCTACACGCCCTAAACGCCCTAAACGCCCTAAACTCCCTAGTTCCTATGGGGACTCTGACTGAGAACCACCTCCCTCCACCTGAGGGCAGCATCGACCAGCTCTCCTCCTGGGCATCAGGCTGGCGCATCTCGGAGACAGAGCGGGGCCGCCCAGAGCAACAGCGTTAGGGTTTAGGGTTTAGGGTTTAGGGTTTAGGGTAAACCCTAGGCCCTTTTTCCGGCGAAGCATATCCCAAATTCCCCCAAGCAAGGCAGAAAAAAAAAAAAAAAAAAACTCGCTGTAAGCCCCGGAACCCTGAAGCGTTTGCTGTTGTGGCTTGAGGGTTGCCGGTTTCTGGGTTTAAGATCTAAGCAAATGAATCAGTGCTTAGGGGAATACAATAAGTGCAGAGAGATGCATAGCCATAGACAACGCTCCAAACGAATACGCACACAAGTATGCATCGTTACATTGTACATGTATACATATATATATATATATGTGGGAAAACAGATATGTTTATACATTTATTTGTACACATACGTACATGTCTATGTTCCATATATGCTGTTGTCTCTCGTGTACGTATGCATACTACTATACTATACTAAGGCTAGACTAGACTATACAATACCATGCCACTTTTCATGACATTTGTGTTTGTTTGTTTAATATACGTATCTTATGTATACATATGGACCCTCTTTGCAAGCTCCCCCACCCCATCTGGAATATCGACCCTTATCTTCTATCATCCCGAAGAACCGCAAAGAAAGCCTTAAATTCAGAATCAACAAAGATGAAGCAAGAGCTGGTAGTAAGAGCTTGAAGTTTGAAGCTCATGCATTAACCACTCCCTTCACCACCCAAACCCTGGACCCCTCTACCTTGAACCCCGGACCCTAGACCTTTCACCTTGGACTGCCCCCTCCGGTCAAGTTCATATGTTCATCGCAATTGCCGCACCAGCATTTCCTGTGGTGTGCGCCTAGTTATTGTTACAGAGACGGCGTTTTGTGCTTGTATTCTTGTTGTCATTCAAATCTTGAGGTTTTCGCATGACAGCATCTGTTGTAGAGGTGGGCTTGTGTCACGATCTGAGAGTTCGAGAAAAGGTCCTGGGACGCCTACTCCCGCGTTGCTGCTACCCTGCTGGTGGGTGCGTCGGAACCTTATGGGCCCCGATTATTTCAGGAGCACGAAGCAATCCTTGGGGACCACATGAACCCTCAGAGGGTTTGGGGTTCATATGCCTTGGTAGGAACTATCGTAGTAGAGGGTATATGACCCCAACTTTAGGGTTCATTTGGTCCCCCAGGATGGACCACTTGGTAGAAAGCCGCCGTTTGTAAGGCCGAGGTCGCAAGAGGGTCTGTCCGTCGCCCTGCCGAAAGGTAGGCCTGGGATTGCCTGAGCCGCCTCGCAGACTCTTTTAGGCGCGCCATGCTGAAATCTTTGGGGACTCGATGCGCCTGGACCCAGCAAATATATGGGGATATAGATACCCTGACACCCTCTTATAAGAGTATAGGAGTATAAGAGTCATCTTAGAAAGAAGTAAGTGCGCGCGTGGGATCATACTTCTTAAGTCAGGTGCATCTAGTCCCACGAGGATGCTTGCTGGCTTTCGAATCCTTGACTTGTCGCTGCTTGCGCTGCCAACCTCCTGTTGCAGGAAAATGCAGGCCCAGCAATCGTTCAAAGCTTGCCGAAATATTCTAGCCAGCGCCGAGGCAGGGCGAGGGTCAGAGACAGAAGACGGGGCTGGCTTCCGCAAGTCCCGCTTTTGGGCCCTAAAATGTTCCCCCGCCCTTATACGAACAGTCCTTGACAGGGATTGTAATAGGGGTACCGTAATCCCCATTAAGGACTGTTTGTAGAAGGGGGGGAACAATGGGGAACATCCCAACCCCAAAACCTTCAACCCAACATTGCGAGGCCTTGGCCGCAAGCACTGCGGAGGCTCCGACCCGGGGCTCACTCTAGACTCGCAGTTGGGACCTTCAGGCTGGAAGGGTTCGGGTTTAGGGTTTAGGGTTTAGGGCTTAGGGTAAATTCATTAATGAGGCAAAGGGTTTCGGGCATTCGGTTGATCTACAGCTAGGCAGACGCTCCGCGCAGGTGCATTGCGACCGGGTGTCGGAGGTTGCGCAACTGTTTGCTGCAAGCTGGCAAGCAATGTCACAGCTGGGATCAGCAGCGTCTCTCGAAACCCAAGGCATTCAATCAAACTGTGAACATACCTTACCAACTCAGAGACCCCTTTGTGTAGTTTCAGGTTGTGTTGTATGGTGTTTACAGAAGCGTTCGACACAGAAGCTGAAGAACTGTTTGCCGGCTTGCCTCCAGATATCTGATTCTGAGCGCAGACTTTGGCAGCGGGTCGTGGGTGCTCGGAAGCTTGCTCAGCTTGCCCCAGCGCCCCAAGATATTAATCAATGGAGGAAACACTCAAACCTAACCCCCCTCAACCCTAAACCCCCCTTTGGTAATTCGGTTGCTGATCAAGCTTCGCGACATCAATGGCAACGCCTCTTCGTCTGCCCAGTTCAAAGGAGTATCGGCGTCTTCCCAATTTTTCCGGTTATCGATCGTACTTCAAGCGTACAGAATTAGGGCTTTGTGCTTCTTCGGTCGGTGCTTTAGGCTAGGACGGATTTTAAGAGCACTCCCGGGCATTGCGGCCCTATTGGCCGGCCCACCGAGCTCGGTCCTGGGCGAAGCCCAGGGCTCCCGCTCCAGCGATCACACGCGCGAGCAAGCTGGCCATGGGGGGTGTTTCTACTTGGGTTGTGTTGTATAGGGTATCTATAGGGGTATAAAGGGGGTCCCCTTTCAAAAGTGCCCATAAGGTAAGGGACCTTGAAACGTTTGCTCCACAGCAAGGTGGGTAGCTTTTGTCTTGGGGTTCTGAATACGTAGAAAATGTCTCAAGGGAGGTTAGGTCATTCAGAACAACGCCCCGCATGACGGGACTTCTCAGGGTTCTGGCTTTTCGCCTATGTCCACCAAATCAGTCCCTGGAGGAAGGCATTTGCGCATCTCGAGCTCGTATAAGATCCTGGGTCTTGCCCCCCCCATTATGTGCTTGAGAGAGAAGGGAACCCTGAACCCCAAACTCTAAACTGACTCTAAACCCTTAACCCCAAACCCGAAACCCACCATGAACCACAGCCTAAACCCTCAAGGCCCAACCTCAAGTCGAACCCCAACCCTGAACCTTAGCTCCACCATGAACCGCGGGGGAGAGAGAGAGGAACGTCGAAGAAGGAGCCTGAGGGGGATGAATCTGTAGGATTTAGGCTTGAGGGCTAAGGGCTTAGGATTTAGGGTTTTGGGTTTAGGGGGGTTTAGGGCTTAAGGGTGAAACCGCTAGTCTGAGAAGTCCCACAGCGTCGCCTTGTCCTCACCGTCAGCGAAGGAGCCGAGTCTCTCCGATTGGGAGAGCTCTGTCGGGATGTGTTTAGGGACATTAGGATTTGGAGGCAATAAACCCGAACACCCTAAACCCTAAAACCCTAAAACCCTAAAACCCTAAAACCCTAAAACCCTAAAACCCTAAACCCCAGGCCTTAAGCCCTGCTATGCCTTGAACCCCGGAGCCCCAACGATGTTGGTGCTGAACGGTGGATATCCCAAGCGCGCGTTGAGTGCATGCGCTCCTCCCTCCCCCCCCCCTCCCAAAACCCAATAGAACAAGAACTAGATGCTGTACCCTTAGCTCCTTAAGCCCTAAACCATATATACCCTAAACCCTGAACCCTAAGCCCACAAGGCCTTTAGGGTTTGAGGGTTGGAGCTTGACGCGGCAAGGTGGGGCTGGGGATGCAGCCTGCTGCCGATACCTTGGGGACACGACGGACACTCCCCCCAAAGTTGAGATCGCATTGGCTTTGGGTTTACGGTGTAGGGTTTCGGGTTTAAGGTTTAGGGTTTGGGTTTATGGCTGTTGAGGCATGTACGTGGACTAGAACACTAAGGTCCGTTAAGTCCGCAAGGTGAGGGTTTGTCCTGGAGCCACCCCGCGACCCCGCAAGAAACATCACGCTGCGAAAGCGGAATAAGACAAGCTAGATGCATGATGACAACGATCCAAGAAAGAGGCTCTGGCAAAGGACAACCCCATATCAGCGTTCGAGTGCGAGACGGTGTTGGCTGCCTCATTTCCTGTTAGGACTAGGTACGCGCGAACAGCGAAGCGAAATTCGTGCTCTCCGGAGCATTAAAGGCCTGCCGGCATGTATAGTTTTTGATACGAAGATGCAATTTTTGGCAGCACTCAACTCTAATCTGCACCCTGACAAGCAGCATGACTATCTTGCGATGTTTCTGCGACATGGCTGTACTGAAACCCCTAAACCCTAAAGCCCAAATGAGTGCTGCCCTGGTGGATGTTTCTGCTGAGCTTACCTCTGGCAATGGACCCACAAACATTGCGACCCCGCGCACTCGAAGTGAAGAGAAAGCAGATCCAGACATCCGCGTGCCCGTGCTCACCTGCAGCCGCAGCCTCATCTTTCAGCTGTCTCGCTGTAATTAGGGCGGGGCTGTTCTAACTTCGGGCCCCTGTGAAAGGAAACTCCCTCCCTCCCCCCCCAAAAAAAACATACCACTAGTAATAAGGAGAAGAAGATGAATAATAATCAAAATCAAATAAAATAAATACGTAAAAAAAAAACAACCCCCCCCCCCCCCATGTGACAAGCGACCGAAGCCGGCCGTGAACAGAAGCAGCTGCCCGAGGCACATCGCCGTGGCTTTTGGAAGGCAAGTCGGATTGGCGCCGCGCCCAGGGTCTGAGTCTAAACCCGCCCCATATCAACGCAGGCGCCGCGCTCCCCTGAACCCTAAGCCCCAAACCCCAAACCCAAAACCCCCTAGCCCTCATAGCCCCCAAGGCACCTATATAGACCCTAGACATCGCAACCCGTTGCGAGCGAGGTTCACGGGCACTTAGAACCCCAATGATAAGTCTACTGAAAACCTACTTAGCGGACTTACGGGCTTTAAGTGCAGTTTTAACTGGGGGTTATAAGTACCCTAAACCCTAAACCCTAAACCCTAAACCCTAAACCCTAAACCCTAAACCCTAAACCCTCTAAGTATAAACCCTTCCGAACCCCCCCCAGCCGGCCCAAGGCCCCCTCAGCAAGAATGCGCCCAGGGCCTCGCCATTCGGAGGCATTTGGGCTTTTGGTGGTTTAGAATCTAGGGTTTAGGGTTTAGGGCTTAGGTTTAGGGCCAGGGCTTAGGGTTTAGGGTTTAGGGTTTCCTTTTGGGAGGGGTGGAGGGGGCAAGGATGATGTTGTGGCGTGGATAAGGAAGCATTGAAGGACGCAGGGGCGAATTTCAAACAAGGAAGAGGGGGAGGAAAGAAAAAAAGAAATGAAGAAAGGAATACAGACGAAAAAACAAAACAAACAGGATTTTGGAACCCCCACCATTCACCCAATTATGTTTGAACAGGGGGGGGGGGTGCTCGCATACAACTACAGACTATGCATACCCCCTCCTTTCCGACCCCATCACTTGTTCTTTTGAGCCACGCACGCTTGCATTTATCAGGCTGTCTGTATATATATATATATGTATGTATGAATGTATGTATGTATGTATGTATATTTTTTCATGTGCGTATTGATTTATATATTTGGACACGTGCCCCCTGCAGACCGTATGAATCCTTTTGGGCCCCCCTTCTGAATCCAGCCCAAACCCATGTGAATCCTTTAAACCTTCGTGCAATCGTAGGCAGATGGGGTTTCGCCCACCTCCCACCAGCCCGCCTGAAATGCTTGCAAACACCAATGACAATGTTTGTGGACCTGCCCCAACACGCACCTCTGGCAGCGTATGCCTGCTTCTTGCGTTTCTTTGACTCAGGCAGTTGGTGGCTTTTGGGCTTCGGGGGTCGTGCCTTTCAGCATCGTGTAAGTGAGGGGGCGTGCGGTTCTCGGATTGGGGTCTGCTGTGGATGTGTCGGTGTGCCAAGGCCAGCCAAAGAAAGTGACTTTGCCTCTGCGAAGCTCGGCAGGAAAGGGGGCAGTTGGAGTTACTCTCCGTGCCTTGGCCAGCACGAGCCGCAATCCATTTTGGAAAAGTATCATCCGGCTTTGCAGAACTATGCATGGCATTGGGGCCTCCCGTAGGGATTGCCCGAGTCGCGCCGAAGGCGGTGCTGGAGATTAGCAGCCTCTGCTAATTTGCAAAAGGCATCATGCTCTGCCATAGGATGCAGATTTGAATGATTGGCCTGTGTCGCAACAAAAAGGCTTGAGCTGGCAATGTTTGCAAGTCGTGAGTCGTTCTGTCCACTAAACAAGCAGCTGCTCTGATGTTTGATGACTCGCATGGTCCGCGTTTCTTGCGTTGCTTGCTTTCGCGACGTGATTCAGAAG